TCGTGATTCACAATTTGCACGTGCATGTTATTTGCGTGTTTGTTGAGAGCATGATACTAACACACGTGTATTTGTTATGTAAACATCAGACAAGGATTGTTTAGCTATCAAGTGTGTAAGGTAACACTTTTGTTTAACCGTAAATAATGCTTACACAGTGCCCCGGCTTGCTGAAAAGCAAGATGCCACGCATTTAAATGGTCATCGAAACACAATATCATCGCTTTGGAGACATATCGTCAGCAGGGTAACACTCATGACTCGCCAAGTGCCGCGTCGTCCACGTGTGACGTCACGCCACCAGACAACCATATTCGGTTGGTGCATCTACAGAACTCATTACCAAACTGCTACATTTACAGCTCGGACAATTCCTGTGTTGAGATCAATAAGTGGCAGATCCTTACGCAGCCGGTTCCGGCCCTGACGTCAAGAGAAACGCCTAACTGTCCTTCCACGTCACTGTCAGACACGCCTAGCTTGGTGTAGACAGCATCTGAGGTTCAGAAGACAAGATGTGGACAGTATAATGTTCCCAAATGAGTCCAGGTTTCACCTTGACAGCTCTGATGGTCATGTAGAGGTCTCGTCCGTGTCAACCTCGTCCGTGTCGGGGTGGAAGTGTAATGGTATCATTGATAATGATATTTTGAATGGTGCGCTACCTGTGTGACAGTTTTCGAGATCATGTCCTCATACCAATACAGGTCAGTATATGCCAGTTTAATGTCACACCCATAAAGGCGTATGTGTCAGTTTAATGTCACACATATAGCCCTATATGTCAGTTTTATGTAAAAAATAAAGACCTATGTGTCATTTTAATGTCACACATATAAACCCTATGTGTCAGTTTAATGTCACAAATATAAAGCCCTATGTGTCAGTTTAATGTCACACATATAAAACCCTATATACTAGTTAAATGTCACACATATTAAACCCTATGTGTCAGTTTAATGTCACACATATAGAGCCCTATGTCCCAGTTTAATGTCACACACATAGCGACATATATTCAGGTTAAATGTCACACATATAGAGCCCTATACGCCAGTTAAATGTCTCACACATAGAACCTTATATGCCAGTTTAATATCACACACATATATACCTTTAATCCAGTTTAACGTCACACTTAAAGAGTCCTATCTGTCCGAGAAATGTTACACATGAAAACACATATGAAACCCTATGTGTCAGTTTTATGTTACACACACACCGTATATGTCAGTTTAATGTCACACATAAAAAGCCGGATATGCCAGTTTAATGTCACATACATATAGCCCAATATACCAGTTTAATGTCACACATACAACGACTTATGAGTCAGTTAAATATCACACATGTAAAGCCCTGTATGACAGTTTAATGTCACATATATAACGACCCATGTGTCAGTTACATGTCAGATACATATAGCCCTATATGCCAATTTAATGTCACACACAAAGAACCTTATATGCAATTTTTATGTCATACATATGGTTTTCTTCCTTATCAATTAAACCGAATATTTTTCGCTGTTTTATGGTGTGATTTTTAATCCTGGTTACATATACTTGTCAGTATTAGGAATTACAGGATTTTAAATTAATATCTCACACAATTTGACAGTCAATCCAAACTGCGACCAATCTACAACCCGGAATATCTATTTGCGTTCTCTTATCAGACGAGGCGATGTACTGTGTGACCAGTGTTGTCAAACACTATGAAATAGACGGAGAATATAGGACGATAAAAGTTACCTACAGTTCCGTATTGACCCTAGTCTATGAACCAATGGTGCAGATTGAACGTCTTTACTTTCATGATTAAACACAATACACAAGTTTGCTATTGAAAGTAGTAACACAATCAGTTATCATTTTGGGCTGCGATTTGAGATTTTCGGGTGTAGTTCTTGTTCATAATGGAAGCGCACATAAAATGTTAGTAATCCGGTCTCTGACGTCACGCCTCTGTTCGTGGGTCACATGACAGCGGACGAGATGACCGCGTGAAGATATTGCGCAAAAGCACTTCAGATGTATATTATTTGGATCTTACTGTCACCAAGGTAAGAAATAATATGAGTGAACGTAATATGTTTCTCTTTAATGATTACCTATTGACATTAAAGGACATGTACACAAAATAATGTGATGTGTGGTCCAGGTGAAAGCTGTGCATGGCTGTGACTGCTGTAAACATAACTATGCGATAAATGTTCATTATGTGGATCACCACAGGGGTTGCTTCGAGTTTTGGATGGTTGATTGTATCAGTGGTAGCTTGAACAATCCCACGGTGAACTGTTACCATTCCAATTGTAATACAGCATCGTTTTGATGACTCTTAAACGTGAGCTTGAGACAATTATATTCCATGAACAAAATCATGATCCAATACAATGTAAAGCCAAAAGAGCAAGTAATCACATGTTATAGCATATCATAAACGTGTATCAGATGAATATCTCGTTTCGTCCATTGGTTGAGATGCTGGTGCGTGGATCAGACTGTTATATATCTAAATCGTCACAATCGGCGAGCCCGCTGTACATTGTCCATAACTTGAATGAAAGGAACCATGCACAACACCTTCCATTTTACTGTATTTTCCATACATAAATATCAGACTTCCTTTAATATACACTGAATAAGTGAGTTGTGTTTAACGCTGCTTCGAACTGTATTTAAGATTACATCACTGCGTGTCAGCTTAAAGTTGAAGGAAAGCCAGAAATTATGGAGGTCTTAGAAGTTAACCTCTTTCTTTCTTTTAATTGTGAATATTTCGTTGAATGAACTAGGCCACATGCCCAAAGTAGAGTGTATATTTTCACAAGTTATGATCACATATTTATCTTTAATAGAGCATGGTGGACATTGGGAACACCATTTTGCGGATAGGTGCTATCTTAGGGATATAAAACAATTTAAGAATGTATATTAACATATTGTTGTGGCTCCATGACCTCGGCTGCAAGGCACAATTTTAAAACAGGAAGTTTTTTGTTATGGTGGCAAACCCGACTTCCTCGAGAATGTTAGTCCATTGTGAAATATAAAACATTTCGAGCTATGATTCTATCCTGTTCCAATTGTCCTTATGGTGGTCTGTTTTTTAATTATTCGTCCTTCAAATATGTTACAAAGATGAGATATTTTCGAATAGCAAAACAGATCTAATAACAGATCCTCCCACAGTATACTGTGCGCCCTTGTTTAACCGAACAGTTGTTTTAAGAGGCGTCCAGTTAAGTCAGTGACCACCACATGTTGTTTTGTTCCATTTTTTGCTGAGAACCAACATTCGATATTGTAAATCGAATGTTGGTTCTCAGCAAGTATTTTCAAGATATCAGTAATTGCAGGTATCTATAATTAAATACTGAAAAAAGGAACCTGTGACAAGTTATGTTTTTTACAAAATCTGAAACAATTTCGGTTTGCAACAGATAAAAGTAAGTGTTCAAATAGTTTAATTTGCCATACTGACTTCAGAAAATGCGTAATTTCATAAAAACAAGAACATGAACATGCAAAAATGTCAATTTGCAAATCAATAGCGTGTGTGTCCACCTCTGGTTGCGATGCAAGCAACATATCTTCGTCTCATGGAATGGACCAGGTGTCGTGCAAAGTCCTGTGGGATATCTGTCCATATCTGCTGGAGCATGTTTCGAAGTTCCTCTTGTGTCTGTTGAACACGTGGTTGACGTCGAAGGCGCCGATCCATCTCATCCCACATGTGCTCGATTGGTGAGAGATCAGGCAGCGAGCCGGCCAGGGAATGACATTCACGTTGTTTTGTTGAAGAGAATCCTGAACAAGTCGAACCGGGCCGGGCGTTGTCATCTTGAAAGGTAATGCCTGGGCCATGACGACGCAAAAACGGTAGAACAACAGGGCCGATGATCAAGTCGCGGTAGCGCTGTCCATTGAGATTTCCCTCTACCACTATCAAACGGGTCCTCTGTCCTGCTGTAATCCCACCCATACCATATCGCTGCCGCCCCCGAACCGATCTTCTTCCATGACACAATGATTGACGTAACGTTCACCTCGACGTCAGTACACTCGAATACGTCCATCGCTGTGGCTGAGATGAAAACGAGAGTCGTCAGTGAATAGAACTTGCCCCCACTGCCTGGCTGTCCAGCGTAGACGCTGTCTGCTCCACTGTAGACGTGCTTGACGGTTGTTTCTTGTCAAAATGGGACGTCTGGCGGGTCTTCTGGCGTCAATCCCTACACATCTGAGGCGGCGACGTGCGGTTTGTGAAGATATTCGTCGAAGGCCAGGGATGCTTCTTGCAGTCACTGTTGCTGGCTGGAATCGATATTGAAGGTGTGTTGTTCGAATCCAGCTGTCTTGTCGATTATAAGTTACGCGTGGCCTGCCACTCCGAGGATGGTCTCTGACTGCATTCATCTGCTGCACCAAATGGTGTTCCTGTTGAGGTTAAATTGTCTTGCAACATCACGTTGACCCTATCCTACTTCAAGCATACCAATGGCTCGCAGACGCTCATTTTCGGACAGGCGTGGCATTTCGTAATGTTGAATAATTGCGTAATTTTGTTGTTTTCTGAGTGGTTGTTGTCATCACGATGCTAAACAAGGCATATGGAATCCCGTCAACGCACATCTTTTTATACCCATTTTTGGGTAGTGAAATGCAGGGGGCTTGCATAAAAGTCAACTTTTGCATGGAATGCAGGCTTTACTGTAGCAGTTGCGTTTTTGTGACTTGATTCCATACATGTACTACAATATTGAAAGCTAAGCTTTACTAGTTTGAAAAAGACACAGGAACGTTTGTTGTTGAGTATACGTATTTAAGATATCTGTTATTCATTTCAACATGAATCATTTCGTGTATTATTTTTTTGTCTGGTTGAAAATGATATTATCCTGGCAATGTGAGCGTTTTTTGTACGTGTAAAGCATTTTAGTTCGCATGGTAGCAGTTATTAATACCTATCACGTATCTTATGTTAACAGATGAAGTCCTCCATCAACAGACATGTCCTTGTCTTCTACGTCCTGGCAAACCTCACAATGCATGTCGCAGACAGTCGGTTTCTATTTTTGTTTATATGATTTTATAATTAATTTATGACAAATCACGAAATCACGCGGCATAAAACCAAACTCACTCACTTACTCACCATGCATTGTTTTATCTTGTTCCCTCATCCTGCATGCGACTAGTTTCACCTTGTTCGTATTTCGATTACGACGAGAACGCTGTTTTGGCCTGCACGGGAAATGCAACAAAACATCCATCTCATAACGGACGCATAGGTTTTGTTTTTGTATTATTTTGAATGCATCAATACTTTTGATTTGAATTGTTATACTAATATCAATATGCATATGCAGCTGGCGTTTCGATAACCGAAACCAAAACAGTAGCCATATTTCCAATCGATTGACAAAATATGATAAAAACAAATCATCCCTAAAACATTCGACATACAGGCTTTTGTTCTTGCTATATAGACGGTACCCGTTAGGGCTGCAGCATTAGTACATTATAGGGCTCTAATTTGAGGTTTTTATTGTAAATATGACATATTATTCTGATGCCATACATAGCCTGGTCCTCAAAACATCTTCTTGTCAACGACAACCGGTGTCCAAGACGTCTACCACACTGTAATTCGCTGTCTAGAGTTGCGTCCCTTAGGCGTGCCAGAAACCTATGATTGTGGGTTCTAGTCCCAGATTCGCCCTGAGTGTGTTTCTCTGTTTGTGAGTTCTAAAGCGTGCTCGTGGATTTTACTAAAGTAGTAAACTGCTATTAAGAACTGCATCTCTTATGCTTTTCCTCCAACATTAGACTGACACACCGTGATATAACTGGAATAATGTTCAAAGCGGCGTTAAACCCCAACCCAATCCAACTTGCTATACACTTGTGCTCAGGCGGGGCACTAATTCAATGAACAGCATTAAACGTCAAATTAGCGTTATCTCAATACATATGTTGTGTAGCAGCATTATTAAAACTTAAACACCACATAGATTCCTTGTCTGTCTTAAGTGGAGAAGCAATACTTTTTAAGCAGGAACTATTTACTCCACCGTCACGTCCATTAAATCCATCTTTACAAAGTCATTTGGCGTGGCAATCTTTATGTTTCTCTCGCTGTATAGAGAGTACTTAAACTGTTTATTTTGTTGATTCGACATAAATCTGTGGAAATTATTACCATTGGTTCAAATTTAAATGAAACGTATGCCAAGTATTTCACGGGAGACATTAACTGATATTACAGTGATGGTCATGTAATATCTATAGGCAGGGCTCGGTCCTAGGACCATTATTGTTTGTTATCTATATCAATGACATTGTTGAAGGAATACATAGTAATATAAGACTTTCTGCTGATGACACATCTTTGTAGGTGATCATAGAAGATCCTGATATAGCTGCTCGTGATCTCAATAATGACTTGGACAGAATTTCAGAATGGGCTGCCAGATGGCAAGTTAAATTTAGTCCCGAAAAAACTGAATCTATTCAATTTACCCGTAAAGTTAACCCTAGTCGCAAATCAAACTTATATATGAATGGTACAGAAATCAAAGATGTACAAAATCATTAGCACCTTGGTATGACAAAGTAATTGTACATGGAAAATGCACATTGATGATATTGTAAGGAAATTTTGTCCTTTGGATAACTGTTTAAGGAGTTATAAATATCGTCTATCCCGAACTACCTTAGACACTATGTTCAAATCATTTATGTTACCAATTTTTTATTATTGTTGTCATATTTGGGACAACTGTACTAATGAACAAGCTAACGTATTGGACAAAAATACACTTAGATGCTCTTAGAACCATATGTGGCGCTGTCCGGGGTACGAGTCATCAGAAGATTTACAATGAAACGAATTGTAGGTCATTAAAAGACAGAAGATACAATTTAAAACTGGTAATGTTTTACCAAATGAATAACCATTTATCCCCGGAATATCTTTGTAGGCTTATTCCTAATACAGTTTCTGAAAACACAAAGTGTGACTTAAGGAATAAAACTAATCTTCAAGCAGTGAAGTGTAAAACAAAAGCTTATGCAGATTCATTTATACCAGCTGCAACACAACTTTGTAATATGTTACCAGAATACCTAACGGGGGCAGAGACCGTTACACAATTTAAGAATTTGCTTCACGTTAAGGGAGATAATGGTATACACTGGGATTTAAATTATGGAAGAGAGAGAGAGAGAGAGAGAGAGAGAGAGAGAGAGAGAGAGAGAGAGATTCTTTATTTCCTCCAGATGTCATTCCGACGATTACAATGAAAATATATTCAATTACACGCAGTGAACACAATAAAAAAGGCATAACATATTTACAATAACACACAGTTTATCAAATTCAGATACCTAAATGATGACAGATTCTCACTAGAAGATATATATCAAAAGATGCCTTAGTTTGTACAGATACGAGGCGAATTGTAGTATAATAGTTTCCCAGGTGTGTTGATCCAGATTGTGAGTAAATTTTGTTTCAGCCCCAAATAAGACTGATAACATATCTGTTTCGTCTTGCATTTCAAAATCAACATATTTTTGAACGTCAAGTACGTCAATGAGAGAAGAGAAAACATGCATTTCTTTCTGATATCAGCGCTTCACAAGGTAAAATAATGTGGCTTTCATAGTCGAAAGCATGCCTATTACAGAGCATGCACTCTTTCGAAAGTTTACTGCATGATGAGACTTTCACACAGAGTTGTAAAGCAGGTCGATATTCCGGGTACAGAAAAGCTAATTGCCAAAGTGCATGGTATGTTAATCTCGTATGAATTCTCTTATAACGGGACATGCTTGCGTTATTTGATACATTTGTGAGCCATGAATGTTCTTCGTAGTTGAATATAGTTTCGTTAACACGATTTCTCCATTTTAATTTTGGAGGGAAAGTACCGTACTGGGTATATGTACGAAGGTAGTGACCCAGATTGTATTTATCAAGTGTTGATTTAAGTTCTCCACAGATTGTCTTTGAATTGACAGGGCTTGCAATGGACGCGCAAAAAATATCTTTTGCAAAGTTATTTCAGTTCAGATTGCATAAACGACCGAGAAATAAAAGGTTGCATTTTTCAAAATATGCAGTAATTGTCCAAAGTCCAAGGTTCGAAATAGTAGATTCTGAAAGAGATATTTTATCAAGACCCTGTACAATGCGTGCAAAATATCTTTGCTTGCCTTCCAACATAGCGGAATGTTGACCCTTGATGTCATAGAGTAATTCACATCCATAAAGGCTGGTTTTGAGTATCATTATGAGCCATATTTTCACGCTTGAAATTGGATGAAGATCATAACTATTTAATCCTTAAGATCTTAGGTAGTTCATATTTTGTCTTGCTTTCTGACAGTACTTTTCAATTCTTGTTTTACAGGACAGATTGTATGTTAGAAGTATTCCATCATACACCGTAGAATCAGTTGTAGTGATGTGTATATTTCCAAGTTTAAAATAACAGTTATACCCCTTGCGTTTTGCTTTGGTGAACACAATTATTGCACTTTTTGATGGATTATATGTTAGGCGCCACCTTGAGGCATATGTATGTACAATATCAAGGGATGTTTGTAAGCCTCTCGGTGATGCGCTAATAAGTGTAATATCGTCGGCAAGCAAGACTGCAGGAATATCCATACCATAAGCACGAATGCCACATTGTGCTTGTCTAAGGGCTGTAATGAGGTCATTTATAAAAACAAGAAAAAACCAAGCAGAGATTACTCTGCCTTGGCCAACACCTTGTTGAACCATATATCTGTCTGATTGTTCACCTTGGTGGGAAATATAAGCATAACTATTTGTATAACAATGATGTAGTAATTTCCATGTATTACCTCTAATGCCCATTTTATGTAGTTTGTAAAATAATCCATCGTGCCATATCCTATCGAATGCTTTTTCATTATCTAAGAAAGCTGCATAGACTGCAGAATCCCTTTGTATGTAATACTGAATGCCTTCGATCAAATTAAATACTGACATAATAGCTCCATGTTCTTTTCTAAAACCAAACTGTAGCATATCAGGAAAGTCTGGGTTAAGCCTACATAATTTGTCTTCTATACGTTTGAGCAGTATTTTTTCAAAGAGCTTACAGAGACATGATGTGAGAGTAATACCTCTATAATTTCGAGGGTCAGATTTTTCATTCTTCCCTTATATACTAGCCACATAATTTTAAAGAAACTGTGCACGGAGAAAATATATTCGGATTGAAATACAACACAGCAAGAACAAAATTATGCAGACGCTGTAGCAGCTGAATGATCGGACCATAAGAACATGTCAACGGGACCTGAACAACATTTGTTACGATGACGTCAGAAGATCAAAATGGAGTAGGGGGTCAAACGACAAAGTCACAAAGTCAATAACAGGTATGACCAACCTGTGCGTGAATCACAGCAGTGCATCGGCGACGCATGGAGTCCACCAAATGGGCATGGAAGGCCTGGGGAATGGCCTGCCACATCCTCCTCAAATCATGTGCCAAGTCACGGACGTTATCTGGAGGATGTGGAAGACGACGCTGACGGCGCTCCATTTCATCCCACACATGCTCTATTGGGGAGAGATCTGGAGAAATTGCAGGCTATGGCAGTAACATGACATTGTTATGGTGAAGGAAATCCATTGCGACCCTAGCCGTGTGAGGACGAGCGTTGTCCTGTTGAAATGTCAATCCCGGGCCAGGACGTTGCAGGAAAGGAATGACCACAGGCCTCAGAATCTGATCTCTGTAGCCAACACCGGTGAGATTGCTCTCCACAATACAGTTGCGTGCATAACGTTCTCCCAAACGCCGGTAGACACGTTGGCGCCCGTCACTGTGGGAAATGTTGAACCTCGATTCATCTGTAAAGACAACATTTCTCCACCATATTCGAGGTTGGCGAACATAATTTCGACACCATCTTAGACGGTTGACTCGATGACGGTGTGTCAGGATGCGACGTATGGCAGGGCGTCGTGGTCGAATCCCGTACTGACGTAGACGATTCCTGACAGTGTTGGGATG